TCTGAAAAAATTTTTATTAAAAGTGTATAATAATCGTTTTGATTATGTATTAAATTATTTATTTATTACTAATCATCACATGAATAAATATTAAGCAATATTTTAAGAAGAAAAAATAATGTCAACATTTCCAAAATACAAATTATTGATAGATATTTTTTTAAATGAGAGTAAATCCATTGAGTTTTTATTTAATGAAAATATTTTAGAAAAAACAACAAGTTGTTCAAAATGTAATAAAAGAAATTTTTTAGTGAAGATAAAAGATTTTGATGTAAAAACAAACAATGTCGAAAATCTGTTTTGATATTCAAAAATTCATTTTTTTCTAATAATCATTTAAAATCTGATAATACTTTGTACATTGCATATCTTTGGTTAGCAAAAGTTTCTACTAACTCGATATTGAAGATAACGGGTTACTCACCTAATACGATAACTGATTATTTAGATTTTTTTTAAGAGTTGGTAATTGATACGTTAAAAGATGAACCAAATAAGATAGGTAGTAAGGATGTGATAGTGCAAGTTGATAAATCTAAATTCAGTAGATGTAAATATAATCATGACAAAGGATGAATGGTGTTTGGGTTATCAGAGGGTTGAAATTACGGATGAAAAGCGATGTTTTTTGATAACAATTGAAAAAAGAGATAGCAAAACTATTCAAAAAATTTTAAATGAATACATTGAGCCAGAATTGATACTTTATACTGATTGTTGGAGAGAGTATAATGGTATTGAGGATGGGTTAAATGTGCAGCATAAAACGGTAATCATTCAAAGCATTTTACAGATCCGGTTACAGGTGTGAATACAAACACTATAGAAGGTATTTGGAATGGTGTGAAATTACAAATCGCATCATGTCATAGATGTAAGGATTTAATAAAAAAACATCTATTTGAATATATCTGGCATAGGAAAAACAAAAATAATTTATGAGAAGTATTTTTGGATGCATTACGTACAACTGCATATCCATCTAATTAATTAATTTATTCTATAATTTTTTTGTATGATGTGATTAATTTTAAGTGATATTTAATAAATACGTACCTGATCTATGCATTATATCGTGAAAAAAAGTCATATTATCACGAATCTATCAATTAACATAAAGTTACAATATTTAAGTAATATTTAATAATTACCTCATAATTCATCATTAATATCAGCTTATAAAAGCAAAGATAATATTATATATTATTAAGCCAAAACTATAATAATACACAATATAAAAGCTGATATTAATGACAGATTTATGATGTAACTAATTAATTTATAAACTTGGGTTATAGTATTCGATCTTCATTCAGATTAAATATTGAAATTATCGTATATGTTATAGTTAAAATATTTAAGTTAATGTGTATTTTATAGTTAAAATTTTGCAAAAAGCTTATAATTAAATTCAAGATACCTATAATCGATTCATAATACTTAAAAATAAAAGCTAAAGACATATATATATATGATAACCAAACAAGTAATTAAATACCTTATAAAAAAAAATAAAATAACAGTAATAAAAAAAAATACCTAGTTATTTATATCAATGGCACCTTTTGAAAAAGAGTATTCAGAAAAGATTTTTGGTTGTGTAAATTTAACTAATGATGAATTATTTCATTCTTTAACTATACGTTCAACTTTATCACCTTGTATTGTAGTTGATGCAGTTGCAATAATACATTGTAGTTTTCGATCTTTAAGAGATGCTGCAATTAATTGTACACTATCAACAACTGCAACTTTTGATAAATAGAACCTATATGTATTAAGTTTTTGAATCATATCCCGAGAGTAATTAAGTGGCTATTCATATTTTTTTTTAACATGAAAGATATCATACAAACCATTTTTTATTAAAAGTAAGCAAACTTTTGGTGATCCAAACCAATTGTTACCAACAATAGTTCGTCCACTACCAAACCATGGTTGTGCCAATCAAAGTACATAGGTAGCAATACTACTATATTCTGATGCAAACTGCTTATTTTTTTTAATTTCTTTATCTTTGCAAGGCTCCAGCTGAATAATAATATTTGTAGAGCTATTAGCAATTGTTTTTCACTCTTGACCAACTGGATGTGGTTTTTGTGGTATTTTGCGACAACCTGAAATTTTATTTTTTTCGCCTAACCATGAATTCATAGATTCATCAATACATAAAGTACTTCCAGGCTTTACAGCATCAACTAAATTGCTATTAGAAGCATTAATAAAACTGCGAACAGAATGCAAAGGATCATTAAGGTTTGGAGTTTCTAATTCGCTTATTACTATTAAAGTATAGTATAACACTATCTGCTCAAATCGTGAATGACTCATCCAATGTTGAAAATTAAATAGTACTATAGGCTGTGTTTGCTTATAATTTGTTCTCCAATAAAATTGACGATTAGCAACAGGAAAAACAGACATTAGCACCCATAAACCTAACCACCTCACATACTTATTAATATTTATATTTACCCAGTTTAAAGCATCTTTTCCACGCCTATTAATGGAATTAATTACATATTGTTCAATATAATTGAGTGGAAGAAATAGACAAAATGATTTATATGGTGAAGCTAAACTTATTGATGGAATATTAACTTTATATTCACAATCATATACTAGATTAATTGCACGTTGGTCAATAGTTACTAGTTGCTCTCGCCAGTTTACTGAGATACTAAGATCAATTATATCAATATTCTTCATCCAAACTACTTTCACTATTATTAAAAAGTTTCTCATATGCTAATAATAATTTTGTTACTGCTGGTTCTTCTTCTTTTCTATTTGAGACAGCTTGTTTCTCATATTGTAGATTATCTGCAAGGACGTCTACAACTATATTTTCAATTTTATCAAAACTTACTTGAAATATTTGGTGCTTTTTTACAGTCAATTCCCTAATAATTGTACTATTTAAACATAAATTTTTCCAATTTTCTCCATGTAGTCATAAATGCTATTCTATTATATCCTTTGGTAATACTGTTGCTTTACAGCTTGCCTGCCCTCCAATAGCTAATTTTTTTGATATTCTTGGCATTGCATATTATAACAGTAAAAAATACTCACTATTATTACTTAAAAACTTGCATTTGAATTATTTTTTGTATTACATTTTATACTTTTTTTAGTATATACATATAAATATATTTACAATTTACCTTTATGACTTCATAGATATGCCAATTAAATTATTAATTTTTTCTCTAAATATGGATAAAAAGGTAACAAATTATATTTTTGGCCAAGTTATTACCAGTTAAGGCCAGTTATATAAGTAGAAATTTCTTTGAAAGTGCTACTGACATATAATCTGCAGATCAGATCAATCCCTAATAATTCTTTCTAAAAAAAATTCACCTACGCCTAATTGCCAAATATATACTAATTATTTTTAATTACCAAAATAAACTTTATATGTTCATTTATATATCGTATAAATTTTATATAATAGCTAACGGTTCTTTTTAATTTATTTTAGTTTTAAGACTGTACTAAATTTAGTACATTGTACTAAATTTAGTATTTCAAACGGATACCCATTAACTATTTTGGTGAATTATATCAATTTTATACATGTTATATTTTATTTTTAGCGAATTACCTAAAATTATACTCAAAAATAAGCTACTTTATTTTTTAAACCACTATAATTTTTCAAAATTCAAGAGAAGATGCTTAAT